CCCTCATAAATCCAATTGCTTAGAGGAAAAGTGATTAAGACCCTCTGCTGCGAGTGAAGCAATGACCGCTGTGACAGGAAACCATAGTGCGAACAGGAGTCCCACTGGGTCAGTGTCAAAGCAACGCCAGAACTCCCAATACTGTTGCATTGTCTGGTGACATCAAGACAGAAAACAGGCCACACTGCAGCACTAACTAAATTATCCCATGTAATTTTAAACTAGCCATTAGGAGCTGCTGCTGAATGGGTAATTGTGTGGGAGAGAAGACCTGGGAAGCTGAAGGACAGTGACTTAAGCATCTGGAATGCATTAAGACAACAGGCCAAGAGGGCCAATTCACCAGGAGATTCATTAGACAAGCTGTGAGCCTGCTGTTTGCATTGGTAACTTGTGGGGTTGCATCTTGTTAGCAGGATATTGTCTCCACTGCACCATGCTGATGCTGAGATTGGTGGCAATTTTAAACACGACTTTAGGAAACAGAGACTGGAAAGTCAAACTGTAAATGCTGCAAATCCTGTAAATGCCAAGCAAATTGTAAAGTGTAGAGATAAAGTATGTGCATTACGTATTAACACAGCAGGGATGAGAAATAACAGGCTTTGGTAGTGCAATTTATTGGGGGATCGAACCTAGTTAATCTGTTAACATTTAAATAAAACACCTTCATCCAAATCTATTAAACCTGTAGTTTGTGAAAGAGCCCTAAAGGACCCTTTCCCATGAAAAAGGTTAACAGGGCACTCTGTTGGTCAGGGAGCAACACCCCAGATTAACCACAATAATGTAAACCAGCTGCTGGTTCGTCAGGACCTCACTGTGACCCCTTCCTCAGAACAGCGCTGGAACATCAAGAACAAAGAGAGTACATGAGGTTATGACATGTTTCTAACTGTACAGCAGCACTCTGACCTGACTGGCCTGACTCCATGCTGTGTATTTACAGTAGGAGCAGAGACACAGTTGCGGTGTCCTCGCAACACCATCAAAATGAACGTGCGACGCAGTGACAGTTTTACAGTCTGCTGAGTTTGATTTATATCCCGCTCACTGGTGGATTGGACAGAGTAGGTGTCATTCATATCAACAACAAGTTGAATATTCTCTATTGTTGCATATGTTTTTTTAAACAATGACAGAAAAATCTGAAGTCTGTCCGTCTTTTTGACAGATTAACACTGAGTGTGAGCTACCATTAATTAACATTAAGTAACTCGCATGCATCACTGTCAATAAGCACATGTAGCCCCCCCTGTCCAGAAAGACTGCATATCAATTAGCAACTGATTAGTAGTCTTGTCTTTTATCTCACATGCATGGCCTTGTTGTCTAACTAGCTTTAGCCATCGCACTGCTAGGCTACATCGCTACATAGCCTAGCTATCGCAAAATGTCACAACAGCTAAGTGTCCGAAGCTGTGCATGTTCACACTTCACAAGAGCTAGGTCAAAGTTCAGTTTTAAATGAGTTGCTTTATAAAATGCTGTGAGTTTTACTTGGGTGGAGGAAGTTTGTGGTTGTTGGCTCATGGTCTCATCGTTAATGACTTCTTGTGATATGAATGAGGAGGCTTTCCACTGTTATGTTTTCCTTTCTCTTCAATGGTGCGCCGCTGTAATAGCTCGGTTGGAAAATTAATGTTTCATTATCATTAAAAATAAAATTTAAATGACGGGTAATTTTTATGATCCTCAACATGACAGACAGCAAGGAAGTCAAACGCGACCTCTGATCGGAAATATCAGGATCAACAATCAGTCATCAGTTCATTATAGATTGAAAATAATCACTACACAACCTACATCATCTTAAAAGCACCACCTGTTGTATTTTCTGCTGTATATTTAAATTCAAATAAATCACCTAAACTTACTTTGACACAGGTTGAATCTATAAAACAATAAAAAAATCTAATGTAGCTGTATTTCTCATTTCAATGCAATCTACTTAACTGTTTGCTGAAATGATTAATTGATTAATTGATTAGTCAATCAACAGAAAATCTATGTTTCGTCTATAAAGTCAGAACACATCTTAAGAAAATACTGATTATAGCTTCACAGAAGTGAGCAGTCCCAGCTTCTTATGTTCAACATAATTTGAATACTTTGATTTAATTAAATTAATAAAAACATGCAATATGAACTAAGTCAACAAAAATAATCCTCATAACAGTTGCCATGACTTTCCGCATCAGTGTAATCTCATGGACTTTAACAAGGCAACTGGAGTGTGTTCAGGCATTCATGCCATTAAGAACTGCTGTTCAGCTATGGGGCACCAATACAGTATTAAAAAGCTGTTATCTCACTTGACACTGCTGTCATTTTGAATTACTTGAGAGTGGTTGATTCGACTGGTATAGACATGGCAGCTTTTAAATAATTAAAAATGCTTTACTCCCATTGTGGCTGTGGGCATGGCCTCTGAATAAAATTAAAGCACGTCTATCCACACACATGATGTCTGACAGAGGGCTAAACAGATCAACAGGCAAAGACAGGGAACATAAACGGCTTATAGGTGTGCCTTTAAATAGTGTTCCAACACACTAAGCCATTCAGCATGGTCTGCATTAAAGCCTGGAACAAAAGCGGAGAGAAAAGCAGATGCAGGCTCTACTCCCTGAACCCATGATCCGTCCTGATAGGCGCATAATGAGAACCAGACAAGTGTTCACACCATAACACATACAAATCCCCATTCATTATTCATGGCAGATTACCCTCTTCATTAAGGCAGAGGCGGGGACCAGGGGACAGAGAGGGCAAGACAGAAGAAGAGGAGGAAGTCGGTCTATGAAAATGTTACCGGATGAGAAGCAGCCAAGCAGCTATAGCCCGCCTATACTAGGTTAAGGCATGCAAACCGTCAAGCTAACTGGCATCCAGATAGGACAGAGAGGACCAGAAACCATGACGAGATCAGGCCTTTTCTGCTGTATAAAGTTCAGGTCCCTGAGGCCCACAGCTCTGTATTCTGCTTTGATACAGTAAACACAATGTGACAAAGCCCTTCTGCGGGAGGCTGAAAAATGTCAGTGTAGCAGAACCGACATTACCACAGCAAGACAAATTCTATCACCAGGCCCTGCTAACCTTTATCAGGAGGATGAAGCTTGCCTAAAAACTGGTCTTTGAAACATCATCATGATAATCTGCCAGGGACTTACAACAACATTATTCATATTAAATATAAAGTCACTATGAGCCCTTAACCATGTCAAGGTAGGTCAGAAGGACCTGATAAATATACTCCTTGTTAAGTCTAATTGTGGATTGTAACTATCTCTGTTGTTAAAGCTGTATTATTTCCTGCATGACCCCTCATGGAGAGCTCATCAATGTTGTTAAAGTTACAGCAACATGCAAATGCTATTACAAAACAAACTGATGACTGAGGATAACTCTGGTTAACTCTGAAAGTATTATTAAAATAGACACAAGATAGAAAAGACACCCGTCCCTGCTTGGCCGCAGTCATACTGCATCCATAGCACACAAGTACTTTACAGTTTAGTCTTCCTGGCTTCTGACATGTGGGTTTTGTATGTTTTATTGTGGTATTTAACACTGGCTGCACGCCCTAAAAGCAAATCTTTCTATCAAAACAGGGAGAAGTGTGAGCGTGAAGCGTCTTTCAGTGAGTGATTGATGGTGTGTGTTGTTGTGAAACGCTCTACCAGGCCTGAGCTGTGAGCTTTGTTGAGGCTGGCAGGTGAGAGAGATTACCTGTTGGTATAGAGGTCCTTAGTGAGGGAAGGTACAGGCTCAGACAGGCAAGATGGCTGACCTATTTGAAAGCTTGCCTGATGCGAAATTAGCCTCATACTGGAAATGCTATCCATGTCTATAATAGATTACCGAGAGAGATCTATCAACACAATCTTTCCTGACATTAAGACTCTAACGATGCCTGAACGTGAGTCACTAACTGCAGTTCAATCATTGAAAGCCTGCATTGATCTCATTATCCATCATTTTGTTTAATTGTCCATAGACATACTAAGGCACAATAAATGTTTAAATCAAACTTGTCATCTCAAGTGCACTAGTAGATCATTTGAGTAATTGCATAAGTGATGATGAAATCACTACATGGCACTAGTGGCCATAGCAAATCATGCTGCACAAAAGGCTTATTAAACAATATCCCCAACATATTTTCAGGGTGAAATATGACAAGCATATTTGTTATGTTTCTAAGCTGGATGGATGGTATGACATTCTGCAAGCAAACAGAAAAAGTACCGATTATATAAGAGCAATGACTTGCAGTGCTTATGAGACTATGTCAGACTGCCCTCAGTAAATCGCAGCACAATAGGCCTGTTCATTTTGTAATTATGTCTGACCTGTAGGTACTCGACAGAGCCACCCCGATGGAGCTGCCATTCACAGTGCGGATTTACATGGATTTTAAATCATTATGGCGAAGACAAACACCATTTCACCCATCCAAATCCCTTTAGCTCTTACAAAGGACACATATGAAGTGTATTGATTTTTTTTTTCAATTCACAGAGTTAATGAACAGGGACACCACTGGGAATTACATAGACAGGCCTGTAGGCAGGATGCGAGAGTAGGTGCACTCTGTTATAATCAAGAAGTACAGTGCTAAATAGTAAATAGTTTAACAGAAAACAGCTGCTGTTTCTGTTTCTGTTGTCTGGGATATACAAGTTACAAGATCTGCCCAGCTGTGAGCTCGCAGCAGCTCTACTATACAGAGCAAAAGCAATAGCCCTGCTCTTTTTGACTGTTTATTAACAGTCTGCCAAGTGCTGCTGTTCATGCAAAAGGATCTCACAAAGCCCCAACTGGAGCCCCATGCACCCCCAAAGCTCACATCATCCTTTCTTCACTGACAAATAACAGCCCGATGAGTCTGCTACCATGCACTAAAATGTGATGTTAGAAAAGATCAGGACTTAATACTGCATGTAACCGTGCATGAAACAACCCACACCGTATTAGAAGTTGATAAAACTTACTGTAGGAGAAGGTGAGGCGTGGAGTGACATCATTTTCCGTGACAGCCGTATGAAAGCAACCAATGAAGAGGACGGTGTAGGCTGAAAGACAGAGCCAAGCCATACTCATTGTCCACATGCCTCCTCAGGACCGCCAGCCAACTTGCAGTATTTGCCTTTCAGGTTTTTGGTGAATTCATGAAGAGTGTTTTTTTTTAGGCCGTGTTTATTTTCACTCCCTCTCTCTTCCTGCAGCTCCAGGCTCCTTGAATGGAAGTCCTATGCTCTGTTGTGAAGTCAGGGATTTCCTTTGGGCCTGCAGAAGATGATGCTGGTTTGAAATGACGATCTGTGATCTCAGAACAAGACAGAAAGTCTCCACCGATCAGCCTCCATGCGTACACGTCACCGCAGGGTCTCAGCTGAGATCTGCCGAGATGAAGGCACAACATTCAAATTAGGGCTTTGTATAAGCAAGCTTGTGTGGTTCTTTATTGGAAAAAGTGGACCAATTGATTAGTCGACTAACAAAAAATGTATCAGCAACTATTTTGATAATCCATTAATTGTTTAAGAGCAAAATTCTCTGGTTCAAGCTTCCTAATTGTGAGGATTTGCTGCTTTTCTTTGTCATATGCAATAGTAAATCATCTTTGAACCAGCCAAAACAAACAATAAAAACATTTGAAACTTAAATATAAGTAATATTTTTCACTATTCTCTGACATTCCATAAGACTAAACAATTAATTAATTAATTAATAGTAAAAATATCAGTGGATCAATGAAAATTACTGTTAGTTGCTACTCTAATTCCTTATAATGGCTAATATTTCCGCATCATACTGTACAGCAACACCTGCAATACTACTAAGGGCACAAAGTCAAAAAAATGTCTTTCCATGTCACTGAGAGCATTCTTTATCTTAACAAAACCAAACATCTGGCTACACAACCAAACAACAACAAATCACATCACATTATATTTGAAATTTGAAAGTGCCACAGGAAAAAAACAAAGTCACTTTCTCTATCTGTGGGGCTCAACTGACCTTTTCACTCCACACTACAGATCTGAGGTGGTATTGCTTTCAGTTTCTCTTCAGAGGGTTGAGCAAGTGATATCACTGTAGTGATCATTAACAGAATACTACATGAATGAGCTTTGCTACAGGGCGTGTTTGAGCACAATGCTCAGGTCAGGTTAATTTGATAGCGTCAGCTACTGACAAACAACGTTACGCTCCTAAAGCTGTAATCTCCATATCTGAACTGTTCGTACCAGCTCTATTGTGCAAAGGAAAGAAAAGAATGCAGAAGTTTCTTAGAAATTTTTGTTTAAGCTTAAGGACAATGAAAAGGTGTGACACCCATATAACAGCTCATGTTACAAGAATTATAGGAGTATCTGTCCCACAGTTTTCCTTGGATGAACTTCAGTTAAATTACTGAGAAATGGTGTGTATACAATTTAGACTGTTTTGATTCCTACAGGTCACATAAGGATTTATTTCTGCCTGCTCTCAGTTGCAATGAAGAATTTATTGAGATAAAAGTGTCCAAAGCCAAAGGAAACTGGTTAAATATTTGCATAGGCTTGCTGTTCGGTTTGCCTCAAATCAATACAGATTACTGGAATTTAACTTTTTTTTGCCATTTAAAGGTTGACACTGGCTTACTCCTTATCCACAATGGCTACAACAGAAAGAAAAAGAAAGAAAATATTAAAGCCACAAGAAAACTCTTATACCAATAATGGAATTATGGGGCAATTCAGTGATGCTGATTAACTGAACGTAGTGAGACGTGAAGGGAAACTCAATACACACATCCCAGTTACAACTGCAAACGCTCCATTACAGTTGCCACAGGGAGCTACTCATTAAACGCAACCAACGGGAGATTCAGTTTCATGTGAGGTATGGCAATCAATAGCAAAAGGTAGTGAGTGAAGCTATTCCTGTTTTCTATCAAGAGGCTCCTGACTCTTAGTCAATAAGTAGTCTGACACTTGCTGCAAACACAGACATCTCCAAATCTGAGCTGGAAAGATGACATTTGGAGGAGCAGGAAGGCCTTGATAAAGGCCAGAGAACAAGACACAAAGAGGGTTATTTCTACCGCAGCACAGACACACTCAAGACTCGAATATGAGAGATACAGGCGCACACTCTATTCTGTCAATTTAGTTTTAAAAGCAGGAATAACAGTGAAGCAAGGGAAAGATCAAGTTGTTCGAAATGAGCTGTTTCATTTAAAGTCTTTTAAAATTAAAAAAAAATGGTGTCAACAGCAGAACAAAATCCATCCCATTACCATTGGTGCATACTGATGCACTGTGCAGATTTGTAAAAGCTATGAAAGAAAATATAGTGACGACTAGACACTGAAGAATTTCAGCCTACAGCAGCAAGACTGTGACTCTTAATGATCATAATGACAAAAGCAGACGAGGTTACGAGAGGCTTCTGCTTTTGAAACTCCAGGCTAGGTCAATTGTTTGGACCAGCATATGTGATGTCAGTGGACTGTAACATGTAATAGACAACGAGGGTGGCCATAAGCATCATTAGGCTCCTTTGTGTGGTACAATTCAAAGTGAGACACGCCACTTGACCAAGAAACAGTGAAGTTAACATTAATTCTGGGTTTGTGTGACAGTCAGACAAAGAGCCTGCATGCATCAAGCTGAATCCGACTGAGGTACGTAGAGAGAGCTCGACTCAGCGTGAGTGAGAGAACAAGGGCCCCTCTGACAGCACAGAAATCTATATGCAACTCTGCACTTCACTGCTCTCTCCTGCATGATGCATAAACTGAATCATCCCTTTCACTCCCTACATAGACGTGATAGTGTGCTCTGGCTGTGGATGATACTCTCCCATCTCTCTGTCTATGATCTCCTCTTAAATCTTTCCTGATCTTTCTTTCTATATATGCCCCTGTATATATGCAACATATCAGCCAGCCTTATCAGGACACTTTGTTATAATCATTACATGTGTCAAACCTTTCCCACAGGTTATATTAAAAAAAGGGTCTAAACAAAGGCATAGGTTTGGTTTTATTAGTGGGAGGACACAATTGAGTATGTTGTTCTTCACCAAGACTAAATGAATGTTATTTATCTATATACATTTATATTAAGCTAGTCGAAAAAACATAATAATGAACTTAAGCTTTGTGCATTCTAACAAAATCATAGAAATGTGGCCTAAATTATAAATAGACTGAAGCATAAGAAATAGTTTTAGTCTCTTAATAGTGTCATTACATTAGGGTACATAACATTACACATTGTCACCTTTAAATCAAAATATGTGAATATACATATACCAAAAACATGTAGTGGAGGATGAGTAGTTTTTCAAGTCCTAAGTAATGTTCACAGAGTTTGCTGTCAGGCTGTGACCAACCCCAACAACCTCTATCAATCAGAGGATTAGTGCTGCCTTCAAGTGGCCTGGGAGTCAAAACCTTGGGCAATAAAGTTCAACAGGCCTCAGCACTGCTCACAAAGCTTATGTTGCTGTAAGTGCAGATAATAACTGAACACCAAGACCAAGAAGAATGTATCAACATTTTTATCAACTCAGAGCTTCCCTCACCTGGATTATGATGCATGGACTGTAAGTGTAAGTGGGGGTGACAAATCAGGGTTCTGAAAAGTGAGGGGGACATCCCAAGTGGAAACTGAAATATTGTATGCTTCTTGCCGGGAAATAAGTGGCACACAGAAATGTCACTCTCTGACTGATGGTATATAGGCATCTGCTCACTAGCCCATCATCCATATCAGTAATAGCAACAGTTTTGACAGTCCGTGAAGTAAAAGAATTAGCTGTGGAGGGGGAAAGACCATTAAATAAAGGAGTAAGAAGCTCTGATGGGAATAGGGAGTGAGTTACATACAACAAAAGAACTGATTCATAAACACATGTGGCTGTAATGAGAATACTTAAAATTTACAATATTAAACTTTCTCATAAAAAGTTATGAGCATTTACTGTACTAGAAAAGAGCTTTGGGCATACAGTAGAGTGCATGTCTAAAAAGAGGAAATAAGCTTATATTTAACCACAACAGGGAAATTCCCAGCCCTCTTTAACAGTCATTTCCAGTAGTACAGCTCATGCTATCCAGTAAAACTCTGATTATATATCACTGAATGGCAAAGACTGTCCAATGACAGCACTGCTTATAAGACTCGCATTATAAATAGCAGCACTGCGTATACTGCTGAAACAGGTGGCACCACCATTAGCATTTGCCATCTGAGTAGAGTAGGAGGGGTCAAGGCTCCCTGGATTCCACACACAGCCTGTTGACTGGAAAAGTGTTGACTGAAAAATACGACCTATTGGCATGCCTGTCATCTCAGGAAGCCACCTGTATACACACACACACACACACACAAACATACACGCTGGCCACCTACGTCATAACCCCTGGAAAACCCAGGTCACATGCTCCCAGATGTGGCCTTCACCCTGCGATCAGTACTTCTCCTCCTGCCCCCCTTAACACCTCCACGCTACTGAAGGACTTTTAGATGTGAGAAGGAGCAGATGTGAGACGGGGAGGACATCATATGTCAGGTGAGCCTTTACTGGAGATACACGCCTGCACATGAGGACAGAGTGGCTGATTCACTGGGCGAGTGGTGTGGGAGTACACATACATATTGACGCAGCTCTGCGTCGGTCCCACTGCCTCTCAGGTTATTTCGTAACTACTCTTCCGGATCTAAAGATATCTATCTATGAGTAAGATATTACAGCACGTCCGACACGGAGCTCAGGTATCGGGTCAAAGTGACAAATCACAATCACAGGAAGCTCAAGGTATTCTCACATTGCTCCTATTACAACAACTAATTTCGTCATTCCTGTTAAAAGGTTTAGTGTAAAACATTCAGGAAACTTTGCCTAGTTGTAACATAAGTGTCATGAGCCTCACTTAATTAAAAACACACACTACTTCTTACCTAGAGATTAGTTGTTACTACAACTAACTTCCAGGTGTAACTGTTACGTAGCCAAACTGACTTACTAACAAAATGTTAGACTGAAAAGTAAAAGATGTAATCTAAAATACTGTGGATGCGTATGACCTGACACCTCTAAAATTCTGTTTTGTAATTTTTTTGTAAATTCAGTGTCACAAATATAAAACAGCATACTTTAGATTTCAAAATGTTATGCCAATAACATTAGACTAAATCATATAATCACCAAATCAACGAGGTGAGCATAATCAGGTATGCCCTACTCATTTTAAGATTGTAATCGATTTCTCCATTTATGCAAATTTAAATTAGTAACTAGACTTAGGATCGGTAGCTAAGTTTAATATGTAAAACTTCCTGTTAACATGTTTATTACTTTTGATTGAGCGTGCAACATTTATACAGATTTGCACATTACTAAA